CCCCCGCCCTGCTTTTAAATCATTTTTGTGACATCGCTCCACAAATTAATGCCTCTCTGATGCCCTCCCTGGGCCCCCCCTCAAAAACAGTAGCTGAGAGGTCACACCTAGGTTGACCCCAATCACTACACAAACAATAATAGTGGCACTTTGCATTTTCGAAGGACCCTACAGACAACGGTTAACCCTTGTGGCCTCCTCCCAGATGGGGAAACTGAGGCACGGAACCATTACAGGATTGCCCGAGGTCACCCATTGATCACGAGGGCTCCTGGCATGGGGATCTCTGCTGTATCCCCTGAGCTGCTGCCATGGTGAAGCTGGAAAAGCCAGTGCTGAAGAAATGGGGGGAAGCTGAGCCCCCCGAGAATGGCATTCGTGGCATCTAGGGCACTTTCTTGTCCCCCCCCACCCTTTTTTGCCCCGTCTCCAAGGATATTTCCCTTGTAGCAGTGGTGCTTGGGGGCCATATTCAGCATTTTGTCCTGCATTGCTGGGGAGAGGACTGTGGCAACATGCCCGATGGCAGTTCTGCTTCCGAGAGAGCTGATCCATCCATTTAAAAAAGGAGGAATAACAGGCAAATGGTCCTTAGCTCAGAAAAGTAATGGCGCTGCTGCTCTCTCTCATGTCCTCCAAATAAGAGTGCAGGGCCTGATCCTACTCCACCTATTAGGGACTAAATGAATCCAGGTGCCCAAGAGTGATCCTCTTCTACCTCATTCAGGATCCTAAATATCAGTTCCTGAAAAAGGCAGGTGCCTTGGCCTCCTCGTCCTGGCAGCTCTCGGTGACGTGGACTTAAGGCTGAGATGAGCGTTGTACAAACCGGTGCGTTGATGGCTCTACAGGGTGGACTCGAATAGCACTTGGATGCCAAGTCCACCTAGGTCCCTACTAGGGGTAATAGGGTCTGGCCATTAGAGTAGGAGCCATGAGGGTATGTAGGTGCCTCGCCCCATTGAGATCAGTGAGGTTTGGGCACGTAAGTAGCTTGGAGATTTGGGCCCCAGCCTCAAGGTTGCTGCGGGACTCACTTGGTTTGCAGCAATGCAGACTCATGTAGCGCCACTGGTTTCAACAGAGCTACCAGGGGCAGGTTTATGCCAGCTGAGGGGCTGGGACACGTGGTACCTTTCTCTCTGTCTGTGCAAAACACCTGTCAAATCAGAGGGGCTGCTGGGGGATGCACACACATTTATGTAGAAAGCCACCTGCCCGGCTGCTTCAGATGCACACAAACAAGGAGAGCAGGGGCTGGATTCACCCCAACTGGTCCTCGGCGACAGCAGGGCCGTCCTACGGGTGGTCTGCGGATACCGTCCGAGCAGGCACAGCTTGACTCCAGCTCGCCTGTTCGACAGCTCTGAGGAAGCTCTGGAGACTGTAAAATGCTGATTTGATAAAAATCAAAGGGATCCTGACACAGTTGCAGACAGCAGCTAGTAACCCTTAGGTGGCCTGACGTGATGGGCAAGGCTGACACTCAGGAAACTCCCTTTCTTTTAACTATGGATGATGCATTTTGCAATTTTCCCCTTAACCTTCTATTCAGATGTCACCCCCACTAACTCCTCCATCCCCTCATCTCCTACCATCCCCACTATTTTGAGCAGCTTGTAGATTCACTTAGGGCCAGAAGGGACCACCGGATCAGCTACTTGATCTTCTGTATAGCAGTGGCTATTAAATTTCACCCAATGCCTGAAGAAGGGCGTTTGTGTCCCAAAGCTTGCAAAGGACTTCTGTCCAACTATTTAGTTGGTCTAATAAAAAATATCACATCTACCCAAAGGATCCTGCCTACCCGGTTACCCAAGCCCTGAGCCCAATCTTGTCCTGTTGGCCGGTCACACCTTTGAGACGTTATCTAGGTGCCTATATTCTCACTGAAATCAATGGGTGTGCAGAAGCCTGAATGGCTTTTTGAATCCAGCTCTCCATTTTTATCTGAAGTCACCAGGCAATGAAGGCCCCACTACTCCCTGGTGGCTCGGCACCAATCATTTCTACATTGGTCAAACAATCAGGGGTAAATTTAGTTAAAATGCAGCCAATGGTCTTCCCCATTTATACTTTTTGAATGGCAAAATTCAGCCTCAGTCCAGCACAAAGCCCAGGGCTGCTCCTCTTCTCCACAGCTGAGCAGAGAAACCACCCGAGAAGATCAAATGAGGAAGACCCATGTGGGTCCCACCTGCTTGTCCGACCCTCTCGCAGTACAAGACTGCTCCCTTCCCCTTCCTCAGACCAACGGCACAGTCCTAACTGAGAGCTACTCCAGCTCCTGTATGAATTTCCATTTCCAGCATGGCCCTTGGCAAACTACTCCACAAGGCCTAGCTCTTCCCTAGAGGCACCGAGGTGAGTGGGATGTGAAGAGATAATCACAGTGGGCAAGATCCTCAGCTGGTGGTCACGGGTGTAGCTCCTTTCAACGGTGCACTGGGAGGGTTAGACACATCTGCAGTGGAGGAAGAGGAGGGTGGCTTCAGCCCCAGTGCTGGTGCACCTCCACTGTCTTTTCACCACTCCATCCATTGCCCAGAAGGACAGATAGGGTCTCCCACCATTTACTGAAAAGAAATCCTAAAGTGGCTCACCTTACGGCAGCACAAGTGAGGACGTGTAGCTTAGGTGTGCTTTGCAATGCGGCTGCCCAAGCCCCGCCAGGTAAACCAGGTGCAGACACGTGGGGCTCACTCTATGGTGAAGACATAACTTTACCCAAAGGCCCAGTGAAAGGGTTTGGCCTCACGTCTATCAGAAGCCCCTTTGTCCAGACCACCCCATTGGTGATGGTGCCATAAACGCCAACAGTCAAGCCTCCTGCCCCATAAAACCATGTCATCTAGGAGTGCTGGGATGGGCAAGCTGTTCATTGACCTCAATGGGCTTTGAAACAAGCCCTCTCTGGATAGCTTGACACCAGAGTATGGTGGGCCAACTCTGGTGGGATGTCCACAGGCAAAGGTACAAGAGGGAGGGAAAGGAAAAGAAAGGCAAAGGAAGGAGGAAAAGACTGCATCTCGGCAGTCGCGAGGCACCTTCTTCCTTCTGTTTGTGTCTCTGTTCTTCATTGTATTTCACATGCACTTAAAAAATTGAATTCATTTAAGTTGGGGCAGGGAGCAAGCCATCTTGGAGGCCTGTGGGGGGCAAGCGGTGGCAAAGTGAGGGCGAAGCAACGGAGGGGGGAACCCACACATTCACTTCACAATGCCAGCGTGTTGTCAAGGCCAAAACAAAGGCAGAAGAAGCTGAGGTATAAAAATAAAGCCGAATGAAAAGAGAGATTTGCTGAAAATCCCAAGTGGGGGAAGATGAGGAGGCAGAGCGGAGCGAGGGAATGGATGGGAGAGAAGGGGACGATGATGTTCACAATCCCCCGTTTCTGCTAAAACTTTTCTTCACTCTGAGGTTTTTAAGTTATTCGCTGGGGGTGGGGGAGACGGAGGGAGGGAGAGTTGAACAACACTGTCCCAGCAAATGAAAATTAAAATAACAGCCCCGCTCCCAGCAGATCTAAACTGAACTAGGCTGAGTCTCAGATTTCCCCTGTGGTGCTTCTTCACCTCTCTAGCTGTGCAAAATCACACACGTTTCCTTTGAAATCTTCCCGTGCAACGCCCCTCGCCCCCTTCTCATGTGCAAACAAAACCCAGCCCCGGCAGCCCCACGAGCTGCCTGCCACTGATTTCCCCTCTGAGCCAGTCTGGGGTTTTTTGTCCTTAGATCTCACCATCCCGCTGAATGAAAATCATGAGAAGAGGGCCCATAATTCTCATTTGTGGCACTTTGTCAAAACCTTTGGTTTCTTCCATTATTTTTTTAACTTTCATGGTTAACGTCTTTAAAACCAAAAAAACCCCCAAAGAAACTAAAAAGCAAACTTAACTGTTCTTGGTTTTTGTTCGTTTGTTTTCTTAGCACTGGCTTTCGTGGCACTTTTCCATTCCACTTCCCCAGCTGTGATGGTCTGATCTGGGACACACTCTGACGTTACCAAATGAAACGTTAAAACCATGACACCAACCCACACGCAATCGACCCTGACGCACGGTCCTCTCGGGTGCGTGGAGCCACCTCGAAGGGGCCCGATGCGGCGCTCAGCTGGCCAACCCAACAAAGCAAGCAAAAGGAAAGGAAAGGACACATGCACGCCCACGCCAAACAATACAGAAAGGTCTGGGGTTTAAAAACCAAGACGTGTCCCTTACACTCTGCCGGCCGGGTACGAACCTCGCAACCGTTTCCCTATGCCCGTCTGCTCATTGTTCTTTCAACCGCCGTGGCAAGAACTGCCCATGGATTTGAATGCTTGGCTGCATGCAGTCAGCTCGACAACAAATTTTCTCCTGCTCCGTACTCCCGTAAATCCACTAGCAATAGGTGGTCACGCAGAGGTATGCATCAATAGCATGACTAGGACCCGGTATGACCACTCCATCATCAAGGACACCCCTCGCAGCCCACAGACCTCCCTTTCCCCTCTGCCCTCCAATGCGCAGCTAGGCTGCTTCTCCGAGGATGGTGAGAGATGGGCCAAGGGGAGAGGTTGTCTTCCCGTATGGCTCCCGTCCATTCCCACGCGTGGTCTAAGTAAGCGCTATTTGCTTCTCGAGGTGACAGATGCACGTTCAGCTCCTGCTTCCAGCCTCGCTCCGTTTTGTGCCAAATTCGAGGTTCTCTGGTTTGGTTCTTGTGCTCTGGGGTCGGCGCCTTGTTGACGGCAAACCCCAAATGGTATTGAAGTAAGCGGTCTGCGGTCGTACGGAAGGGAAAAAAAGAAAGGAGAGAAGAAGGAGACTCTCTTGCTTGGTTAGGTAGGAAGTAGCTTGGTCCTCAGAGAGGCAGCTGTTGTGGAGGAGCTGAGGGCCGGGGGAGTAAATGCCATCTCCCATCCATCTCTGTGCCGAAATAACAGTGAAGGGATGTAGGGGACGGGAAATGCTTCTGAGGCACCCACTGTGCTTTAAAAATGACCCTGTTGGTAGCGGGTTTGGGATGAGAGGACAGGATGGGGATGGGTCGGGATGGAGAGAGGGTGGCCTAGTGCCGCCAGAAACAGTCACAATCATTTGTGGGCATTCAAAAAAAATGGGAAATCCCACCGTGGTTTTACAAAAGGCTGGGTCGGCATGAGGTCACATCCTCCTGGGAGCAGCCCAAGGGGAAATCGTTCCCTTTAATCCCCGGTCTCCTCATATTTTGCACCAAACAATGCAAAGTCCTGTGGAGATTTCCACCAGGAAACCACACCCCCCTCCCCCAAAAAAGCTAAGAAAAATATTTGTCCTGGCTCAGAAAACCTTTCCTCTAGCAAAAGCGATATGTTTCCCAGGCCAGCTTGGTGTTTTGCAGCTGGGTTCCTCCTTTCTAGCTCGGCATGTGCCTGGAGGCTTTTCGTTTCTGGGGTTGTAGTGGAAATGGGCTGCGCTGTGCCGTGAGCCATCCAGAGGGGATGGTGAACACCGGCTCAGCGCAACTAGGCAGAGAGCGTTTCATCGCAGTTTTACGGTCAACAGGAAACACAAGGAAAGACCGAGGGGGACACGGGGCTGTTTTAAAAATAATAATAAAAATCTGAAAAGTTAAAGTGGGGGGCAAGGGGCGGTCTCTCCCTCCCCCACCCCTCCAGGCATTGCTATTCACCCGGAGAGTTAGAGTCCCCCGTGCCACTCCACGTTGACCCAGGTCCCTGTCGCATTCCCAGGAGGCCTCAAATCCTTCCCCGTAGGACTGATATCGGGAGACGGAGCTATAACGGCTCTGCTGGAGGAGGTCCCTGTGTGATCCTGCCCTGCCGGGATCCCCGGAGGCAGGCCCCATCCCAGGAGACGAGACTCCAATAATACTGAGTTTGTTTCCACGTCCGCCCCCGGCTTACGGACCCAGGAGCTCAGTTCAAGCGGCGCGGCAGAGGCAGCCTTCCACGTTTCCGTCTGGATACGGATGATATGATGGTATTTTTCGGGCAAGGGGAAGCTGTGAACAAGAGAGCTCCACCTGAATGTCTCGGTGTCCCCAGAGATGAGATCCCTCCAACGCCACCACGTCCCTCAAATCCCAAGGCCTTGTGGCTTTGTCCATAGGTTTAGAGAGAGAGAGAGAAAGAGAGCTGATCGGTTGACTCTGCTTACAGCCCAATCAAAACTTGCACTTGGTAAAGAGGATGATCTTGACTGAGGCACGGCTTGGTTTATCCCTCCCAGGGGTTCCCTGGCAGGACAGTTCTCAGCTGTCTATGCTCATGAGGGTTATGACTTGTTCAAGTTTGTAGGCGAGTTTCTGTTTCCCAGCCTGGTCGTCTTGATCGAGGGCTCCGAGGATCTGCCGAAGGGGAGGAACAGAGAGAAGAGAGGGCTTTATCCCTGCCCAGTAGCCCCGACACCCCAATGGAGGGCCAACCCCTCGGGGGGGAGAAGGGACTTTTCCTTTGCTTAGCTTGTGCTCTCGCAAAAGCAGCTAGCAAAGTGGTGCGGGAGGAGAGCAGGGAGTGGACAGATGGCAGCGCTCAGCAGTATCTGCTCTGTTAGGACCAGCTTGGTGGAGGGGGGAGTATTGGCCAAGACGCTAGGGTTTTCCTGTAATCTCTTCCCAAGCTGTCAAGGGAGCTGCAGGCCTGCCTGTCACACAGATGGGGGTCTTGGCATTGTGCCTCCAGCAAAGGGCCAGCCAAATGAAATGCTCCTTGCATCACCCTTCCTGTTACTTTTGAACCACTGCAGCTCTAGAGACACCTCTCTTCCCAGCCAGAGACAGAGAGAAGGGCTGAGCTCTGTCTGGGCACAAGCCCGGGGTGCCTGCCAAGCCAGGGTTTGCTTTTAAGGTAGCTACAAAACCCGGCCTGTGGAGCTGAAATCTGAGCTCTGCTCTTTAAGCCCCTGCGGATGAAGTCGCAGGCTGGTTGCACTCAGACCAGACTAAGGGCACTTACAACACAAGTGTCTGGGCGTTAAAGCTCATTAACTTGTGCTAAGTGCCCTCTGAGCGTCTGAAGGTCATGCCACTTCAGGTGAGGTTGAACTCTGGGCTGTGCTACCTGTCTTGTCTTCTCCGTGGATATAAAATGAGCAATATGCAGTCCTCCAGCATCCCAGAACGCACCGCTCCCAGTCCCCACTTTCCACCCAGTCAGGATTGCTATCAGCTATCGTCGGATGGCTCCACGGAGGTAATTCAAGGAATTTGTGGTCCTCCGAGGTGTCCATTCAATTTGGAAATGACAATAGCAAGCAGAGGGGCTGATTCCTGCAGCTCTCCTAGCCCCTCTGCACTTTATAACCAAAGACCCCCAATGGGATCACCCAGCCCGGGGCCTGATGCTGCTTCTTCTCCGTACTGAAGGGGCTCCAGTGCTGGGGCTGCGACCCACAGTCAGCTGGTTGTTAGTCCCAGACTCGGCACCATACTGGAACCAGTTCAAGACTCCAAGGTGGTGCTGGGGCTGGGACCAACAATCAGTAATCCATGCATGTTAGAGATCACAGTAGGCATTGTGGTGAGACTTTTAGTATCTGCACAGCAATGCTTACTATCATCTAATTAAAACGCCGTCCGAGTGTCTCCTGCCACAAGGTGCTACACAAGGTGAAACTGAGCTGGGTATTTCTTTCTGTCGGGCCAAATTCACTCCTGGGCAGCCAGCCCGCCTTGGTGTTCAGTGGTGTGCAGGCTCCTTTGCAAAGCTGCAAATATAAACCTGCACCGCACGCGCCTTGGCTACAAGAGGCACTTCTTCCAGGAGATGCCAAGCAGGGTCTTTAAAAGACAGAGTCTTTAATGGAGCGGCATTAGGCCTTGATAAGAGCGTTATATAGGCCCTGCATGGCATTACTGCAATGAGGATGGTGCTTTGCAAAGACTTTTCCTGCTAGCCCTTCCCTGCCCTTCCCTCGTGCGGGAGAGGAAGGGATCCCAGTGCCCCTCCTAAGAGGCAGTGAGCCGTTCCAACGGGATTTACTCTCACCATCCTAAGGGAACGTGGTGGGTGTTGGGGAGTGAGCTGCGCAATGACAAGCGGCTCTGTCTGGGAAAAGCAGCATTGCTCCATATGGACCTGAAGGACCAAGCTGCATGAGACAGGCTGCAGGTTTAGCTTGGCTGAGCACTGCACTACCTTGCATGGGAAGAGCTGGGGTGCTGTCGGAGAGGCACAAGCAGGCTTTCAGGGGGTGCGAGGGGGCCGCTGCAGCCAGGGCAATTTGTCTCTATCAAACACCAGCTTCACGGACAAGGTGAGCCCCCCCCCCCCCGCACCTGTCCTGTCCTTGTCTGCCCCTGGGGAACAGGTCCTATCTCCCTGGTCTGCTTCTGCTAATCTTCGGCTGGCGTGCTGGCAGCCTTCAGGGAAGGCTGGTCAGAGCGCCCCAGCAGTGAAGTCAGCCATCTTTAATTAGCTCGCACAATTTTCTGCTGGCCAGATGCAGCTCGCAAGACACAGCAGCGTGGAGAGAGCCCTTGCCATCCCCGACCTGGCCAACCGCCCTGGCCCCGATCACCAAAACCAGGACCCGTGCATGCTTGGGGAGCTCCGCTGTCAGAGCTGCAACCAGCGGCCCCTTGTCTCTGTACCCCGTCCTCCAAAGGGAGGCTGGCCCCATTAGATGCACTCTCCAGGCAGAGATGAATGGAGCACCCCGTCCTGGGGTCTATAAAGGACAGGAGGGAGACCATCAGGGCCCAACTCCACCTTGATGGTCCTCAAGGGATCAGTCGGAAGGGGAAAGAACAGGAAATCAGGCTGTAGGGTGTGGGGGAGGCCAGCACAGCTTCACTCACTCTCTGCCTGTCCCCAGGCACCATGGCCATCCTAAAACCACCGGCCCTACATTTGAGAGGAAAGTGCCCAGGGCTGGTGGGTGTCTTGGTAGGCAGCCTATGACCCCAGACCATCCAGCAATGCTCCTTGCCTCCTGGCATCTCACCTCCTCGCTGTACTTGCCCACATAGGAGTAGATCTCAGAGAGCGCACTCATGGTGTTGAACTCATTCATGTGCATGCGGGACTGCTCAGCCAAGTAAGCGTTCATGTCCTGGTCGCTGATCGCCGGCATCTTGGCGATGTCTGAGTAGTACCTGGGGGAGAGAGAGGCACAGCATTTGCTGGTGGAGAAAGAGGGACCTAGGAAAAGCACCCCGACCTCTGAGCTCCTAGTCTTGGCTCCTATCCATTCAGCCAGAGGACTGAAGCTGGCACACAGTGCTCTAAGTTAGCCTTTCACTGCTTGCCCAAGCAGATAGGCCACCCCCTAACTCCCCAAAATGCTGGGTGTCATGGGCAGATCCTCCAGAGCTCTCACAGTCACCTACATGCTCCCCAATGAAGCCCAACAGAGCACCAAAGGCGGCCCTGGCATGGCTGGATAAGCACACGCTAGCCAGCCAAGCAGAGATTGCCAGCCACAACCTAGCGGTATCTCCCTTGCACCTTTCCCTGCCCAAGGATCACCGTGCCCTGCCCCTCACTTCAGCAGTGTGCTCCCTGCTGCTAGGTCTGCAAGAGCTGCCTCACACTAGCTAGACCTTCCTCATGTCTCGTGCTGGGCAAATGAGAGCTGCCAAGCCAAAAGCAAAAGCTTCTGGAGTCAAATGGTCCCTCAACGCGAGCCTGGAGCAGGGCTGTGTTTTTTTGTCTGCCACCCCAACCTGTGCAAAGCAGGCATCAGAGAAAGGCTCAAGCTCTCGCCAAGCCCAAGCAGCCCCCTGCTGCAGACATACCAGTCTCAGAGCTCAGCCCTGGCCCAGCTCTAGCGACTGATCCACGTTCATAGGACATTTGCACTTGGGGCACTGGTGTGAGGATGGTGGGGCCCAGGGCCCCACTGAGGAAGGGGTTGGGTCTTCTCATTATGGCCACACCACCCATTTGCCCGGGTAGCTGCCAATACAACATGCAACTCCTCATGCCAATGCCACGTCCACTTCACCCACCGCGGGGATGCCTGCTGCCGGCCCCCACACAGATGGCTCACACCCGCACCCTCGCACAATCCCCAGCATGCCGCTTCCATCAGCATGCCCGTGAACACAACCGCCCTGACAGGCACACTCACAACCCTCAGCGTGCCCATGTCGCCATTCGCAGACTCCCACCCTCTCATCCTCCCCCCGCGGACACGCACTCGAAGCCCTGGCAGCCCTCCCACCTCAACCACCTCTCTGCCCCAGGTCCCCTATCACTACCCACCCACCCCATCCTCCCCACATCTCCCCCAGGTGCCAGACCAGCCCAGGGCACACGTAGCAGCCCAAGGCTGCTCCAATGCTTCAGTGCACGCAGCCTATTCATGGTGAGGAAAGCCTGCTTGCATCCCTCCAGGGGGTCCACGACTGGACCGGGGAGTCCCGGGGTGGTTACCACTGCACAGGGCTTTGCCTGCCAACCTGTGTCTCTTTAAGGAAGTTGCTTTCTTTCCCCATGTCCTTCCTCCCCCCGGGCATGGCGGGTCTTGGAGGACAAGGTTTGCAGAAGGTAATCAGTCACTGTCACTCGCAGCTGTGCTCCGCTGTCAACTGGTTAATTAGACACCATCATTTACATTTTTAATTTCTGCAATTTGACATTTTGTGTACAAAAAAAAAAAAAAAAAGGGAAAAAAAAAAAAAAAAA